AAAACACACACAGATTCTGCTGGGAGTGCCCACATGCCATGATTCTCTACTGAATTAGGATTTTGCCTGGAAATGAGAAGAGTGGGAAGGCGAGCCTGCCTGCTTCCAAGAAGAATTGTCCTTCCAGGAATAGGCGGGAAACAAGGTGCCTACTTCCAGCTAGGAAGACACAACCACTCATGGCAGGCCACGGATGGACTGTGTGCTGCCTGCCCTGGTGCAGGAAATGGGGACTGAGAGGCCCGTGACACCCTCCTTCCGGCCTTTCCCAGCCTGTTGCTGTTCAGTTGTGTTGCATGCGACACCTGTCATGGGCCATCCTAGATGGGGAGGATAGGCGATACAGTCCAACACAGCTGGAGGATATCAGTTTGAGGAAGACTGGTCAACAGTCAATACATCACATACAATATAAATGGCAGCAATATTCCAAATATAAAACAATTGTAACACCAAAAATAACTAATAAGAACTAGCAGAAATGGGGAGTAAGTGGGGAATAATAGTAAATAATTACAGCTAAAAGCATTTTAGTTCAGCACCCCAGTCAAAACGAATTACGAAAATGCAACAGAAAAGCAAGGCCTTGGAGGCTTCTAAAGACCTGCTGTGCCTGAGCCACGGACATGGGGCCACTGAGGAAAAGCCCCCACCCTTGCTAGCTGTCCTGGCCAGATTGGTGGTTCTCATGGGTGAGCGTGTCAGGAGGGCTTCAGCTGCTGATCTTGCGAAGTGAGCAGGCTGATATGGGTAAAGTTTCAACTTAGTCCCAAACTGGTTTATTTATTTATTTATTTTATTTATTAAAACATTTTTATGCCGCCCCATTCGCCGAAGCCTCGGGGCGGCTTACAACAAAAAGATTAAAATAACATTTTAAAATATATACAATAAAATACAAATATATAAGTTATATATATAAGTTATATATATAAGTTATATATATATGTTATATATATAAATATATATATATATATATGTTATATATATAAATATATAAGTTAATAAATAAATATATGGTTAAGGCCTTAAAAGGTGAAACCGGCACTGTAAATCCGGTCCCATAATAATGTACTAGCAACCAGTGTTTTGGGTGCCGTACTGGTGTCACATGACTAGAGCTCCTGGCTCCCGCTAATACTCTAGGCCAGTGGTGGTGAACCTTTTAGAGATTGAGTGCTGAAACCGCAACCCAAAACCCACTTACTTATCGCAAAGTGCCAACACTGTAATAAAACCTGAAAACTGAGGTTTTAGTTTAGAAAAAACAATGCACAGCCAGTCCAAGCAAATATATATATGTCCTTGGCAGTGCACTGACCAGCCATGCAGAAGCATCACCTGGCGCCACTACTCCTTTCCAAGCATGCGGATGGCCCCTGTGTGCGCTGTTATCCAATGCTTGGCTGCTGGGGCGATGCTGGGGCTACTTGGCGGGCGTGCCGAAAGAGAGGGCTGTGCGTGTCCGCTGTGGAACGTGTGCCATAGGTTTGCCACCACTGCTCTAGGTGAACAGCTTCCAAACTGGATGTCAGTAGTGCATGGATAACGGCAGCACAGTCCATCTTCTCCAGATCAGGTCACAGAAGGCTCACCAGGTGTAGCTAGCAAGAGGGCTTCCTTGTCGCTGCTGCTTGTGCTTTCCCCACTTAGTGTCGAGTCCAGGAGAATTCCCAGTTTTTATTATGATGTTACATTTCTGCCTTTCTTCCTCCTGCAAAGACTCCAAGGCTGCTGCTCCTCTTTGTTTTATCCTCACAACAACAACCCTGCATTGTAGGCATGACTTAAGTCTGTGACTGGCCCAACATCCAGTGAGCTTCATGCTATCCCATCCAACACTGTAGCCGCCATATCACACTGAGTGTACATCTGCTTGGTCCTGCATGTGTACTGTAGATTTGTAAAATGTATTTTAAGCAGTTGTCTTTCTCTGTCAAATATCTAGCTTGCATTCCAGGTAACACCAATCCTAGATTACAGTTAACCTTTTTCATACATTCTTTTGCACTCAAACAATTTAATATCTCTTTGACACAACAGGTTCAGGTAAATTTATATGCTTCTGCCCAGCCTAGTTCTTTCTCTTTTTCCCTGGCTGTCATGAGACCAAAATAAAGATTTAATACTTAAAAAACCCTTATGGCTTGTATGTGGAATAGAAAAATGAACAGCATGTATCCTACATGCTGTGTGGGAGAAATGCTATTTAAATGGTGCCTGAGCCGCTAAACATAACACTAACATTGGATCACTGGATCCAATCCAATTTTTAAAGAAGATCATATTGGAGAACTTAGCCATCTGTCCAATGTAGAACTGAAAGACATTAAGAAGTGTTGTGTTTTTCTGTGGTCTCTGAGGGGTGGATGGAACTGTGTTTGTGATTATGCTGCTAGGCTTCCCTCTACAAAGCTATGGCTTCTGAAATCACTCCTGCCTTCGAGTCTGAACATTTCCATGCAGATTGAACGGAGGCATCCAGCTGCCTGTCTCTGGTATAACGCGGGGCTTCTGGAGCATCTTTCACCTACCGGGCACTGCTGCTATGAAGGAAACACTGTCGGGATTTTTATAGGCTTCTTGCAAAACAGTGGGAGGTTGTTTGGAAACCTTTCCTCACCTTGCTATGCTTGACTTTTATTATTGTTTTAATGACAAAATTAAAAATTTCACGTGCCGATTGTAACAGCAGCAACTTAACTTGGGATCTTTGGGGTTTCTGAAGGAGATGCCTGGCTGCATGCCTTCCCTCCTGTGAGTTTTATTATTAATGCTGCCTTACGATCGCAGGATAAACTTCCCGGCCCTTAAAATGAGCATTAAAATTAAGGCCAGCAAGTGTGTTTATTTCCTGGCCCAGTGCCACTGAAAAATTATGCTCTGGACAAGGTACTCACGGATCTTCTCAGTTCTTCATTTCATTTTATGCCTTTTACTAGAATTTAGATTTTTGCTGACTGGGCAGATGCTAAAATGTTCTACAGCAGAAGTTATTTCAAAGTATGTTTTGGCAACCTGTGCATTAAGGTATGATCCGTCTGGAAGGTAAAAGCCTTATTCCCACCATATTATAGAACCAACCATTGTGTGTGGCTAAGTGCCTCTGCGTGGCAACCAACAAAAGTGGCTTCTCTGTGGCAATGTGGTGACTGTGTCTTGAAGGTCACTTTGCACTTGGCTTGACCAAATTGCTTGGGGAATTTTGAGGACGCTGTGCAAACTTGGCATTAGCCCAATCCAAGAATTGCTGCTCAGATACGCAATCCTGACAGCACTGATATAACTTTGGTGACTTCCCCATGAGGGTCGTAATGTGTGAGGCAGCATCAGGCTACTTCCGAGGGTAGTGCTGAGAGGAGAAGAGGGTGTATGGTAGGAAAACAGACAGGGAAGATGAGAGACAGTGAGATGCATTTGACACTAACAATAAAGTCTGCAGGAGAAGAGAAAGACTCTTCTCTTTTGGGGATTGCTTATATGGTGAGAATGCAGGTAAAATCTTAAAGAGAAGCTGGAAGTGGGAGAGGGTTGGGCATGTATACATTTTTATTTAGAAAACAGTGCATTTTTGAAATAGTCTTCTTAAGGGTATGTCTCAGGTTGGAATGGAGCTTCCATCCCCCACCCCCTTGTAGGGAAGAGTCCATCAGTAATACTCTTGCTCCATAGGCCAGAAATGATTGGTGGGTTTGATTGATATTTCACTTTGAGCCTACTGGGGCTGTGCAGCCCTTGGGGACAGGATGGTTAACATTTCCTAAATGTGAATAGCCCCCCCCCCCCCGCCCAGCTCTTAATCTAAAACAATCAGGTAACTGGGGACAGGTAACTGGGCTGGCATAGTAAAGAGGTTTGCAGGTAAATGAGAGAAAAAACAGAGCTATTCCACCAGCCCTGCTAAAGACCTCTTCATGAAGGATCCCTTTTCCTCAGCTATTATTAGCTGCAGCCATACCAGCAGGCTAAACTGAGGCAGAGGGAAGAGAGCATGGCCATATTTTTCCTTTTTTCCCTCCCTATTCCTTTTTCTTTGCATGCTGTATCTTTTCATTTGTAAGCCTGTGGGCAGGAAATATCATCTATTGATTACTTGTAAGCTGCTCTGGGAGTCTTTCTGGCTTGTGGAGCAGGATAAAAATACTCTAAATGAGGCCAAACAAAATGAAAATGACATAGTGCACATTAATTTATTAGAAACAAACAGACCAAAGCACCCATATCATACCATAAATTGCCAGCCCAAAATGTCATCCAATGGTTGCTGCTGTTTGGAGGCAGCCACTTGCTAATGCCTGTTTATTTTAAAAAATGCAATTATATAGACAGTTTGGTGGTGCCTCTGGAGCTCTCCCTGGTGCTGGAATTCACCAGCAGCCTCACCAACTGAAAATTACTGGTGTGGCAACATGGAATGTGCTAGGTGAAAAGCTGGGTTCAGTCACAGGTATGAGGGCTTCTCCAATGCAGGCCTTGACATAGCACAGAGAAGCTATATATGACCATTGCTGATCCTTGCAAAAATTACTATGCAAGAGCTATAGAAGAACAAAGAGAAGCCTCTTGGCTTGCACCTTACTCAGGTAAGGTACAAGCTGAGTTCCAGTGTTGACTTTTCTTAGTTGAGAGTGCCAGATAGCACAGAGGAGATCAGGCCTGTTACACCATCCGTGAGCTCGGTGGACTCAGTGAAAAGCACCAGATACTCTAGTAGTTAAAACAAGCCAAACCAAGGCTTTTAAGTGAATATGGATATCCCAAGCAAGTTTGTTAACGTTGATGTTGCCATTCAGCAACCTCCTAGATAGATCCAGGTCTCATTCTAGATCAGGTGGGAGAAAAGTATCCCTTGGATCAGTTGTCATCCGGGTGTTTTCTTGCAGTAAATTTTATGATGGGTTGTTGAAATTAACCATGCAGTTTATGACTACCTGGGATATATGCTGGGGGGGTGGGGTGTCTGTGTTGTTGTTTTCTAATACATGTCTACGATTCTGTAGGTATGTTGATGATGTGATCAGCCGCATTGATAGAATGTTTCCTGAAATGTCCATCCACTTATCCAGACCCAATGGAACCTCTGCAATGCTGCTGGTAGGTTAAAACTTGATCAGTTTTAATAGGTTTTATAAGCAGAATAATTTTCCTCTTTGCTAAGGCAAGTTAGATGTTTAACAGTGAAAGCAGTGGAAAAATTATCCTGTTTACAGTTTCCCAGTTGGGAGAAGGGGAAAATGTTCATTTTAAAAACTCAAGGGAAAGAAAAAGAATCAGAGGAAGCTGGCAAAAACTGTAACTAGTAGGCAAGCGCCAAAGACCTGCTTGGGCTCATACAAATGTGCAGAAGTAGCCCAATAAAATGTTTTACTTTAAGTAGCTAATGCCTGTGCAACATCACAAACAGCTTTTGATCCCATCCTCTCCATTTCAAAATCAATTTGCCATGCAGCATTGGCAGGTTGAAGGTGAGGCTTTTTCAAGGAAATCAGACTTAAACCTCTCCCTCCACCCCTCACTCAGTTTCCTGGACTTTGGCCAGAATCCAAAGAACTGTGAAACAGTCTCAGCAGTTTGATGGTCATGATCTTCATACTTGGATCCAGTGGAAGATTCAAGGAAACAGCAAATTGCTATTTGTTCTCTAGCCCTTTTCCTCCATGAACTTGTCCATTCGCATTTGAAAGTTGTCCACATTTGTGGCCATCACAGCAGCTCATAGAAGGGAATCCCACGGTTCAACTATGTGCTGTTTGAATGTGTGTTCCACAGTGTGCATAATTTTGAACACCTCTGCCATGTCTCCCTGTAATTGTCTATTTCCTAATCCAAATAACCCCAGACATAACCTTTCTTTATAGAAGAGTTTGTATGCACTGTGTTAGTCTTATCATGCAGTCTTTAAGAAGAAATAAATAGAGGGTTGAATGGTTTTGAGCTTTTGTCCCCCAGCTGGTGCCCAATGCAGATTGGGTATTGTCTGCCGGGGAGAGGGGATGCCTTCTATTTGCAGTACAGGAAAATTCCTGTTGGAGCTAGTAGCTGCTTTTTCTCCCATGCAAATGACAGCTACAGGACCTCATTGGAACTCCAGTAGTGCACACAAATTGGCCAGGGAGCACTGCTTTAGCCATAATTCGTCTTGTACAGCCCAATATTCCATTGTTATTTTTGTCCTTTGATCTGACAAAATACAGTTCAAGGATTAACTCAATTGAATGCTTATGATTTTTTAAAAACCTTGTTTCCCCTGGTTTCATATTAATTTGTTCCACTTGATGACTTGTGAAATCACAATAAACAGAGCTTGAATGACTGACTTCTCTAAGAACCTCTTGTAAAGTCATTCATTTTTAGCATTATATTCTTCCACTTGCTTCTTGGTCTGTTGATATTTTCAGTACTTTTAGTGTGAACTCAAATCTAAATCTAGTGTGAACTTAAATCTTAACATCCTCATTATTTGATAGCAAGAACAAAATCTGCCTGGCACTGTACCTCTTCGTTGAATGGCACAGCACTTTCCAGAACAAGTCACGTTGGCAGTGCAGGAGAATTGTTGCAGGAACATGCTCTAAGGTCGACTGTTAAGATACTGTAGGGACCTTGAACTAGTATTAGAGATGTCATTGAAGTTAGTTTGCATAGCAGGTTTTGGCTGTGATTCTCTGATATCGATTTAGTACTAATTGACAAGGCCTTTTAGCTCCTTGACAAATATCTGACCCAAAGAGTGATGGTTGCTTAATATGACTAAAACACATGGGGAAAAACCCCAAATATAGCATAACCACACATTTTTGGAAATGGGACTCCTATGGATGTTCATGAACCATGAGAAAGAACAAATGTCTACTCTTGCTCTTGGATTTGTTTCTCTCTTATTCCAGAAGTAGGCAGGCTTTTGCTTTTGACGAAGCGGAGGAAACCACCCCCTAACATGGTTGCATTTGTCCAGGTACTAACTGAACAAAGTTGTTTCTGGGCAGTATCTTCCAACTGCTGAGCCCCGAACACAAGGAACAAGCATTTGCTCTCATGGGAAGCCCTCTGGTAGCCGAAGTAAGAATTGGTGGCCTTTGCTCAGGGACCAAAGGAACTTTCACCACCTGTTGTCTGCTGTCCCTCACCCTTTCCTTCCTCAAATGGTTGGCACAAGTCATGTGAACCTGAGAACGCATTCTGGAGGCTGTTGCAGAGCACACAAAGCAGTGCGTGCTTGTGAACACACTTCAGGATGCCCTGCAGTTCCCCATCACAGCTCCTAGAAAGCTAGTTTCTCTGTTCTGCTTGAGGGCAGGGGGAAGGAGAAAGCATGCCAAGCAGGGAGAAACCTAAATACGTAACTCAGAGGGTACTAATTAACCAACTGAAACTAGTCCCCCAAAGCCATCTCTGTCAAGACAAAAAGACATTTTGGCAGAGGTTGTTCAACACTAGTGTTTGTTCAACACTACTTGCTGTTTGTTTTCACCTTAAGGCAGTTTTCAAGAACTCATTGCAAGTATTATTTTATTTAATTATTTAAAACAATTCTGTATTGCCATTCATTAAAATCTCATGATGGTATGCCCCCACCCTGATTTAAAAAAAAAGACTTCTTAATGCCAGTATTTGGTGCTAAAATAATTAAAATACCATTTAACAATTTTAAAAACCGGGCAAATAAAAAGGTTTTGGCCTGGCACTGGAATGAATGAAGCACCAGCACCAGGCACAGCTCTCTGGGAAGCAAGTTCCGCAATTGGGATGCTATAACAGAAAAGGCCCTTCCCCTCACAACCTTCCTCTCCTCTCGGAGGAGGACCTCCACGCATGGTCTTAAGGTCTGAGCAGGCTCAAGTGGACAGGAGAAGCAGGTGACTAGGCCATGCGCAAACGTTTTGGTGGTAGATGTAGCAGAGGTGAGAGCGTGCAGTTACGATCATCTATCAGCTGCGTTTGAAATCCCAAAGTAAGCAATCCTTATTGGCTGAACAAGAGGCACGCCAGCTTTAAAAAATCAGTTTTGAACTTCCCAGCTGTGTTCGCGCAAGTTTATGCCTCTTAAGGGAGGGCTTTAATGTGCGCACTACAAGCTCTACTAGTAAGCAGGCCTAACAAAGCTCAGTCCTAAGGGAAATTGTTGGTTGTGAGTAGGGTGTTTTTTTGTTTTGTTTTGTTTTTTGCGACTGCCCTGAGTGGCAGGGTTTTCTCCAGACTCTCCACAGTGTCTGCGCTTTCCGATTTATGCACAGTTGTACCTCATTAGGTTGGATTTACACTGTGTCGTCATAAGCACATAAATAATTGAAACTTTTTTCTAGAGCAGTGTGGGATCCTCAACTAACTTTAATGCTGTTTATCATGGGTAGTTCTGTATAGCAATTTTAACCTGATCTTACTTGACATATCAAGTAAGCCTTCAATTGCATCCATACATGGAAGATGGTAAATGGCAGCTGTACGAACAGTTTAAAAACCCCATGCAGAATTCATTGTGGGTTTTTTTTTTCTTTTTAAAAACTCTCTTCCACATTTTTCCCATATAAGCATTGGCATGATAACCTGGAAAGATGAAAAAGAATTAGCCCTCCATCCATTGACAGTTTATTTATCATTTATTTTATTAAAACATTTTTAACAGTTTGTGTGTGTGGTTTTGGGATAAGGCTGTTATGAAGAACTTAGCTAATTTGATTTGGGCCAGAGAGGGACAGTTAGCAAATAATCTCTTTTTTATTGGAGTCTGTTTATTTTCTATTAGAATGAGAAAAGTCGGGATTCAGTTTAACCTTATTTATTTATTATTAGGTTTACACCCCAGCTTTTTTTTCTTTTAAAGAACTCAAAGCAGCTTACATCATTCTCTTCCTCCTGCTCTCAATCTTACCTGTATAACAACAACCCTGTGAGGTAGGTTGCGCTGAGAGTCTGTGACAGGCTCAAAGTTACCCAGTTGGCTGCATGGCTGAGTGGGGACTAGAACTCAGATCACCTGAGTCCCAATCCTGCACTGTTAACTACTGTACCACACTGAATCTCACTAATTTACTGTTAGGTGTAATTCAATTAGTATGAATTTGATTTTCCTCCAAGATACTAACACTCTCTAGTAATGCTATAATATAGATTCTAATGCTACAGCGCTATAGTATTTCAGATACTATAGTGCTGTAGTATCTCAGTTCCAGAGATATTGTAGTAACCATTAGTTATTGCTATAACAAAAAAATGGGGGGGTGAGAAGAGCTCCCCCCCCCCCGAACTTCCAAATGGGAGGGAATTTTCCTTGCATCCAATCCAGAAGGACCCAAAGTAGGCCTTTCTAGGAGGCTGAATATCTTTGCTCCTCTCTGTCCACAGAACACCATTTAGGGGATTTCAGTCAGTGGCATGCCTGCTGGTGACAGCTGCTCACCCTTTTAGATACAGTGGGGGCTCTGCCTTGGCAACCTCCCCTCTCTTGCAGTACTTCTCTCTGCTAGGACCTCCACACCAGCATTCCTTCCTAACCTCAGTCAGCCATCAAATTGGGAAAAAGGTTTGGATTGTGCTGTTAGTAATGACATTTTAACCTCCATTATTCACCTTGGAATGTTGGCTCACATGAAACTGTTAAAGACTTCTGATGAAATATTTTCCCCTCAAAAAATATGTATGACTACAAAGTGCATGTGTTACTTCTGTTTGTCATATTATTTCACCGTTTATTTTTTATTTTGTTGCTTAATTATGCATTTTCTTTGTATTTTATTTATAAGCTATCTTGAGAATGTTTCTTTTATTGAAAGGTGTCACATAAATCTTTAAAATAAATTTATGTGATCTGAACCCAATCTCTAAATTTCTCACACAGTAGGGTTGCACAAATACAATATTTAGCAAAGTAATTTCTCAGAAGAATGTATGGTGACCTCATGCCTCATAAGCATGTAAAGTTTCAGGAAGGGTCTTTTTCACCTCTGAAGGTCACAGACTGAATTCACATTGTATCTTCTGTAGCTGCATATGAACTCTGCACTTCCAGCAAATTCCTGAATCTTGTTGGGCTACAGAATAGTGGTGGCTTGGCTTTGATATCTCCTGGGGGAAATGAGGAATTGGATATTAAACAA